CGTTTAGCCGTACGGATGGCCCTACGGGCCACCCCACTCGCTTTCCGAAAGAAAAGAAAAGAATCGGTCGTCTGCCTACGGCGGTGCCTCTTCCAGGCTGCACGCTTACAGCGGACAGCCCGAGCACAGTCCGCATTCCACCAGGGAACGCACTTCCGTGGACCCCGAGAGGAAGAGCGAGGAATAGAACGGAGGGCAGCGTTGAAGACAGTGTCATAAAAAAGGAGGAAAGCGGGAGAGAGAGGCAGAAGGGAGAGGTCAGAGAGAGCAGCACTGAGGGTAAATAGGGTCCAGTCCGCCTTAGCAAACTGCCACCTAGGGAAAGAGAGGGAAGGGCGAAAAGAGAAAAAGGAAACAAGGATGGGGAAATTATCACTGCCATGGAGATCATCAAAAACCTGCCACGTGAAATCTAAGTAAAGAGAAGAAGAGCAGAGAGAAAGATCAAGACAAGAAAGGGTGCGAGTCCGAGAGTCCAAATGAGTGGGCTCACCAGAATTCAGAAGAGACAGGGAAGAAGAGAGGAGAAACGGCTCAAGAAGGGGACCCCGGGTATTCGTCAGAACGTCACCCCAAAGAGAATGACGACAATTGAAGTCACCCAGCAGGAGCACAGAGGCTCCGGCAAGGAGTCTAGGTGGTGTTTCAAATCAGGAAGAGAAAGCGGGACACTCGGGGGGGGGGGGGGAATAAATGTAACAAACTGTGTACCATTTCCCCCACAAAGATACGAGCAGCAGAACAATGGAGAGGCGAATGAAAAAGTAAAGGAACAAAGGGAACATCAGCACGAATCAAGAGAGCAGAAGAATTAGAAGCCCCAGCAACGGCTGGGGGGGGGGGAGAGAAAGGAATAGCCACGAAAACGACCAGGACGAGCACCAAGCATCGGCTCCTGGAGACAGACACAAAGGGGCGAAAACCGTGAAATCAGAAGTTGGAATTCGAGGAAATTGGCGTAATAACCTCGAACGTTCCATTGAAGAATAGACATCGACGAGAAGAGAAAGGACAAAAACAGAGAACAAGGAAGAAACAAAGGCGAAAGAGCAACAGAGCACGTTAAAGAATATCAGGGTCAGCAAAGTCAGGGTTAGGGGGCATGGGTAAACTGAGCAAAGACGGAGGGAAGGAGGCGGGAGAACAGACCAGAGGTGGGCGGGCGGGGTCCGGAGGAGGAAGGAGGAGGAGGAGGAGACAACGGAGGGGAGCAGTCAAGGACAGCAGGGTGAAGAAGGGGTAGAAAGAGGGGAGCGCACCTCAGCAAGGGCAGCAACCGAGAGGGAAGCGGGGGGCTAAAGAAACCTACATAGCAGGAACAGGGGGCGCAACCACCGAAATGGGAGGGGAAGGAGCGAGAGGGGCAGAAGTAGGGGCCGAGGAAGAAAGTGAAACCTTCTTACCCGATGGGGAGGAGGAAGGAGAGGAGCCAGGCTTACGCTTCTGACTTAAAGAGACAGGTGTCCCAGCAACCACGCACTGGGCAACGGATTCTAGCGTCTCAACAGGAGAAGCTGAACGAGAGCACACATGACAGCCGTTTGGAGAGCGATGGACATCAGCCCGCACCGACAGGCGGCGGGGAGAGTCGAGACACGGAGGGGAAGGACGGGAAGGAGGAACGGAGGGAGACGAGGAAGAAGACACAGGAGACAAGACAGACCGGGTAGAAAGATGGGGAACCCCAGACAGAGGACCAGGAGGTGGATCCTTCGGGAGAGAACCCAAAGGAACAGAGGAGGGGGCAGTGGGCATATCAGAGTCCAAGGCCCGGAAACGGTTGCGAGTCTGAGGAAGGTGGGAAGGACGAGGAGAGGAAGAGTGCAACACACGAGCACAAGAGATATTAGCATAAGGCGGGAGCCAGCGAACCTGGCGTCTCGCCTCAGGAAAAGATAAACGCTCCCGGTGCTTCAAGTTGAGGATGGCTGCCTCAAGCTTGTAATGGACACACGCACGGGTGAAGGTAGGATGGGCCTCACCGCAGTTGAGGCAACGAGCCTGGGGAGAAGTGCACTCCGACTTAGAGTGACCGTCGCCACCACACAAAGGACAGAGAGTGTGAGTCCCGGAGCAGCGGAGGGCACCATGCCCAAACCTCCAGCACTTGTTACAGAACCGAGGAGAAGGAATGTACTCCTGGACAGAGCACCTGGCACCAGCAAGAATGACAGAGCGTGGAAGGGTCCTATCATCAAAGGTAATCTTCACAACCCGGAAGGGTTGACGGCGACTACCACGAGGGGGACGAGTAAACGTGTCCACCTGGAGAATAGAATGGCCCTGGGCAGCAAGGATATGTCGAATATCGTCGTGGCAGTCGCGCAGGTCCCGAACACCGGTCGCAACATCGGGCGGGAGCAGAATAGTGCCAACACTCGCATTCAACTGAGCATTCTTCGAGACCCGAACAGGGGTCTCGCCAAGGCAGGATAAGGCAGCCAAGCGGGAAGCAGCATCCTGAGAAGGAGCAGCAACGACACGTGTACCGAGACAAGTGGGGTTGAAAGTAACCGAGGCATCCACGGAATCAACGAGATGTCGATGGAGGGAGAAATCGTCAGGAGGCGCAGAATCAAGAGGGAGGAGATAAAAATATTTGGCCCACGAAGCGGGCCCAAACAAGGCTTGATAGGTAGCAGAACGGGAAGGAATTGAGCGAGGGCGGCCGTGACGAGGACGGCAGTGAGAACCCCCAGAGGGGTTAAAAGGCGCAGTAGTTACAACTAGAGATGGAGCCGCGCCAGGGGACGAGGTAGTCACCACTGGGGGCTTGGGGCTTGACCCAACCACAGAGGAGGGAGGGGAGCCAAGGGAAGGAGTCAGAGCAACCCGTTCTCGCAAATTTAATAAGTCAATATTGACTTATTAAATATGTGCATAGGTGACATACTTAACATAATAGATACCCTTAAAAAGATTCATAGAAAACACCGACCTTACCTAACCTTGTTAGTATCTTAAGATAAGCATCTTATAGCTTCGTAATTACAATTATTACCTAACCTATAATAGGTATAGGTTAAGTAATAATTGTAATTACGAAGCAATAAGATGATTATCTTAAGATACTAACAAGGTTAGGTAAGGTCGGTGTTTTCTATGAATCTTTTTAAGGGTATCTATTATGTTAAGTATATCACCTATGCACGTAGTTAATAAGTCAATATTGACTTTACGAATTTGCGAGAACGGGTTGACCCGTAGAACTGTAGTACCCGACGTAGAGAGCGAGGAGAACCTTTTATTGTCAATCCCCCTTTCGTCACCGAACCCGATCTCGACGGACTGTCGGTTCTTAAGGTGGCGTTTGTGGGGCGTATACTCATGACGCACCCCTAGGAGGCCCCGGCATGATCGGCGATAGCTTCTTGTTGGGTGTCCTGCCTCTAATTGTAGCTCCATGGTGGGTTTGGGGGCACATTCGTGAATGAATATTCCTTTTCGTAGTGATAACCCCTGTTTCGACTGTTTCTGTTTTACCTTCTCAGGCTCGTGGGGTGGGCGACCAAGCCCCCGAGTCGGTCCGTGTTGGATGACCAGGCTCTGTAGCCTCCACTGCATTGGGCCCCGACCTTGCTCCTCGTTGGGCCTCTCTGACCAACCCGTTCTCGCAAATTCGTAAAGTCAATATTGACTTATTAACTACGTGCATAGGTGATATACTTAACATAATAGATACCCTTAAAAAGATTCATAGAAAACACCGACCTTACCTAACCTTGTTAGTATCTTAAGATAATCATCTTATTGCTTCGTAATTACAATTATTACTTAACCTATACCTATTATAGGTTAGGTAATAATTGTAATTACGAAGCTATAAGATGCTTATCTTAAGATACTAACAAGGTTAGGTAAGGTCGGTGTTTTCTATGAATCTTTTTAAGGGTATCTATTATGTTAAGTATGTCACCTATGCACATATTTAATAAGTCAATATTGACTTATTAAATTTGCGAGAACGGGTTGTACGGGTGCAAGAGTATGGCTCCTCAAGCACCCGGGCGTCAAAATAGAAGAAGTCCAAGGGAAGAACCAGAACAAGCAAAAGGTCGGCAGGAAACGGCAAGCAGATTGGAGAAGAGGGGGGATTAAAACGAAACAGAAGGAAAAGGAAAAGGTGCTCAGCATAATTGGAGAGGACGGCAGCAGGAGCACAAGGGTAGAAAAGGACAAGACTGTCCCAAGGAGCATCACACTCCGGCAGCCGCCCACTAAGCCCCCCTCACGGCAACAACGAGCCGAGCGGGTAATTTTTTTTGTGTAGACTGCTTATATTGATGCTTTCCTCATTCTTATGCTGTACCCAGATTTTGCTAGTGGGGGTTAATAGATCAGCCGTACATTTCATATTCTCACCTCATTTTTAGTCAAGAGCCGATTTTTTTTTTTTTATTGAGGCTGCCATTTTCTCTCCCGATTCCATGTATGACTAACCATCATGCGAGATGGGAATAGATGAACTTAGATTACACAGTGTAGAAAAAAAAACTAGCTATGTCATATAGAATAGGATAGCAGCACATTGCTGTGTATACCTAAGTTCATGGATTCTTTTTTTTATCGAATCCAAAATCTAGCTCCCCACCCGGCAGCCATCTTTAATTTCGTCATCTGCACTGTTTACACTATGCAACTCAAAAGTTTTGGTTAACTCATCAGTAGTTCTGTGATTGAACTGATTGCCTCTTCCTCATCACCATGCCTTCATGTTAAATTGTACGCGTCGTTAAATTGTACAGTGTTGCCGTGACAATGCTTTTCATTAGTAAGCCTCGTGTATTAATTTAGATGGTGTGAAAAAATAATCCAATGTGGAGGGTAGGTTCAGATATTTGGGTGGAGATGTTGGTGTTTTATGACAAACTTTCAATACTTAGTGTATATAAAAAAGTGAAAATTGGTTAGTTTAGGATGTTTTCATTGCATAGTGCATGTAGGCTTATCCAGAGATTTTTTTATACTTTATAGGTATGTTTTACAATTTAAATACTTTATAGACATATGCTTTATGCTGAATAACAAATACAGATCTTTTAGATATTCATAGATAGCTTATCAGTTAATGATCATTAATAATTTCACAATATAGCCTTTTACCCTGTGAAAAACAAATTATCAAAAGGCACCAAGCTGGGAAGACTAGCACCACCAGTCACAGGATAATCTAAAGGCACTAAATAGCATTCAAGATGACAAGACAAGAACAGAAAGACACAAGGCAGGTGATAAAGGTATTGGATTCACCAAGGATTCATCAAGGGACTAATTGCCCTTATGGACATTAGGAAACATGGCCATCCTGAAAATTGGTGCAAGACTTTCAAAACATACTAAAATAAAGTACTAGTACAGTATCTAGATTTTAGGTTACATATTTATAAAAGTTAACCATTTTTATTTTTAGAATTGTCACAGTGCCAAAATGTTATAAGGGATTTTTATACTTTCAAATTAGTTTGTGCTCAGCTTATCTTTGGCAAACTTGCCAAACTCTACAGCACCAGGCTCATTCACTTCGCTGTAGCCTGGCAGAGTGGACTTGCACTTCTCCAGCCAGGCAGCCACATTCGAGTGTTTGGCAATATCTATTCCTGAAGCTTCAAGTGTTGAGACTGTAGCCACAAGGACGTTGTCAGCGACCGTAATGTTGTTGCCGATGGCCCACTCATGGCCGGCTAGGAAGTCGTTCAGCCATGCCAGTGCCTCGTGCAGGGGTTCTAGCTTCTTTGGATCCACCTTTTCTACGCCACCAAACAAGACTGGGTACTGTTAAAAAAAAAATGCATCAAGATTTAACTATACTAGAATTACAGTAATGAGTTACTGAATGGCCACCTCAGCCAACAGCCTGTTTGACCACGTTATTATAAGTTGAGCCTGGCCTTAGGCTGGGTTTGTTAGTAGTAGTCCCAGAAACGACACTTGCTTTGAGATGGTTTCGGAGCTTAGCATCCCCGCGGTCCAGTCTTCATCCAGGCCTCCCAAGAATACCACTTGGGTATACTTTACATACAGGACTGCACTCGCTCCTACAGGTGACAAAGCAGTCCATTGCTTTGTCACTCGTTTGCCAGCATGAGGTAAATACAGGACCGACCTCTCTGAACAAAGTTCCAAGTAACCACAAATGTGAAGGCAAGCTCAGGAAAAGCTTATCCTCTGCCAATACAGAGAAGTACAGTACAACAGGCAAGTACAGTACACACCATTATTCCTGTATAATCAACAGAGGTGATGTGCACAGAATAAAACCTACTTTAAAATGAATCGGGTGTAGTACGAGTCATTCTATACAAGATTCTATAATAGTTGTGATGGGTACCTATACATGTTTGACAAATTGTAAGTTCGTGTTATGGTAGTGAAAAGTGCGCTAGTGTACCAGTCCAAGCGTCCTAGAAAATATTTGTTCAAGTTTAGTTTAAACAGCAGCTATTAATTTTATATAAAAACTGGTTAAATTTACCGTAAATAAGGAAATATTTGACTTTTATTTGGCAGAAAAAGTTAATGGGCAACAAATTATCTCTGATTGGTATTCCAGTACAAACGTTTATTCAAAATGGTTCAGTGTACACATTTTATGCAATAGTTACATTAAAAGTTCAGTTTTAATGTACCAATATTCTTTTGGTCTTTAGGAAAATTACAGGTGGCTTATCCAAAGTCTCCTTATGGAACATATAAAAGGGTTATCTTCAGGCTCTTTCAACCAGTGCAGGATTAGATCTTAAATACTCAGGGGGAGGGGGTGATGGTTCGAGATAAGTCTGCTGACCAAGTACAGTGCCCAAGACATCTGTAGTAAAGCCACCAAAGAAAGTTTTTGAAGTCTTGTCCACAATGTATTATGTTGAGGCATGTGTAGGGTCTTTGGGGGTATGTCTGCCATATTTTGTGGTAATGGAGATAGATGGTTTGCGGGGGAGCATCATTCTACAGGTTATCTCTAAATTTTGCCCTACAATATTGAATTGAATATGTGACCAGATGTTATTGCTGCCATTTCTGTTTTGGGTCCAGAACTAGAACTACTTAGTCTGGCTTGCCCCAGAACATGACTTGCCAGTAAATAATATTTCCAAGTCCCTGATTACTGCTAGGGAGCATGGTGCCAAATGAGGCGGTGGAACTGTGCCCGATCATCTCGTTACAATGATGGCCTGGGTTTGAATCTTTTGAAGTGAAGCGTCAACTACCAGTGCAACAAATGATGCCTATTTCCTCCATATTTACCCGAGGGCCATTAATTAACACTAGCTGCGTTGATTACACGAAGATAGTGGCTTGTCAAAAGTCCTCCCTCCCCTCCCGCCCCCACCATTTGCCCTGATCTTTTCCAGTTGGATTTTCTATTTTAAATATTATATTTCTCATCATGACATTTTACACTTCCAATGCTGTGAAAGTAGCATTAGGTTGAGAGAGAGAGAGAGAGAGAGAGAGAGAGAGAGAGAGAGAGAGAGAGAGAGAGAGATACTCACTCCACCTATTTGTACTTTCCTATTTGTGCCTCCAGGATCGAGCTCTAGCTCTTGGACCCTGCTTTTCTAGCCGTTGGTTGTCAAATGCAATGATTCCTGACCGATTTCCCTATCATTCCCTCCTCTTATCATAAGTTGTATATCATAAGTTATAAATGGAGTTTGCTTCTACAACCTGCTCCTTTAGGTCATTCCATTTACTCACTACCCTTACACTAAAGTTAAACTTTTTAACTTCTCTGACATCCGAGTTAAGCTTCCATCTGTGCCCCCCTTGTCCTGTTGATATTCATTGTAAACCATTTCCTTTGTTTACACACTGTAAATTACTAAGTATTTTATATGATTTATGTCTCCCCACTTTCCCTCCTCCTAATGTCGTCAGGTTTAGTACCTTTGGTATCTTCGTACCTCATCCCTCG